TATGCAATTAAGGATACAAATTTCAATTATTTCCACAATAATTTTTATTGTACTTTAAACTATAAATATATAAAATTTTATTTAAATACAACAAATATTAAAGGTTTAAACATTTTAATTTTCATGAAAATCTATAAAACAATTATTTGTGAGCGTAAAACATAAATATACACCACACTTTTTTCAAGATACTTTTGTTATAAATAAGCATCCTGGCATTTTACATCTACCCTTCTTATCATTATATTTTGGCCAATGAGCCGTGAGGTCTTTCCTAACCTCTTCAAGTGGTAAATATTGAGCTGGTCCTTTTTTACATTTTTCCCGATAACCAGTTTGAACTGATTTTCATTTTGGTTTGAAGTGCATTTGCCATATTTGCAAAGGACTTCCGCCACTGAAATTTTGAAATTGTACAAACTTAATTGATCCTTGCGTGCTATTGATATACTATATCAATCACGTTTATATAGCAACCATGAATTTATAAGTAACATGTCAAACATATGAAATAAAATTCTATGATACCATTTTCTTGATTTCGTATGAATTCTATATAAGGAAAGTAAAGAATCCATGAGATCTACACCTCCCATTGATTTATTATATATTTTAACAATATTTGGACATTTTATCATCTTTTTTTTCCTATCATATCTTTCACAGTCTATTAGAGGATGTGCACCTACAAAAGTGCTTAATAAAGTCACAGCACGATTGTCGTGCCACTTCACTGAATTTAGCTCCACTCCGTTTATTATTGTTTTTTTTGAAACAAAAAATCCTCGCCTTTTTTTTAAACTCCTTATCTGTTGGGAAGTTTATATTTGGAAGTCGATTACCTCTGACCGTGGTCGTGCAAAATATCCCTCTTTGAGCGAGTACGACTAGCAAATTTGGGGAACAAAACCAGTTATCAAAAAATAATTTATAATTAATTTGCTGCGGTATATAAAAAATTAAACGGAGCACAGCATTGCCACTTGCTCTAACATCAGGCAATCCTTCCGCTGGTAGTATTTTTCCAGAATATACTTCAAAATTATGCAGAAGGCCGTCATCTCCGCATAGTAGAAAACTTTATAGCCCCATTTTTTGTGCTTTTAAGGGTTATATTGCTTCAACCCCTGCTCATCTTTTTTTAATTTATGAAGAGAGACCATTGTAATTAATATAGAAATATCGACACCTAATTATTTTTAGAGGGGTAGGCTTTTGAGGGAGGATTGCAGCCAATGATATCCTTATTAACATGCTTTATTATTTTTAAAAAAATGAGTAATTTTTTATATCAACTAATTGGAGACTGGCTGGTCTGTTTTATTATTTAAGATGTTTGAAGGACTGTAGTTTGGTATTTAAATTAACAAATATAATATTGTTTTACTTGAGAAATTTTTTTTCCCCAAACTTGGTTCAGGGTAATTCTATACCAAATCGATAACTTTTCGGCTCGACCTTTTTAATTTCGATAAAATTTTGTATACTGAGAGAATATCATTAGAAAGCATCGAATCCAAAATTTTAGCCTCCTTGTACTCATAGTTCCTGAGATATCAATGGTCAAAAGTGCCAAAAATGACGTATTTTCGAAAAATGCGATTTTTTAAAATTAAGATAAGTTAAAAAATAATGATTTTAAAAATATAAGTTATATGTCAATTTATAACTCTATTAAGGGCCTTTTATTGAATATCAAAAATTTTTTCAAAAATTGTTGCGGTTTTTATTTAAGTTATAAATTTTAAACATGAAAACTCCAAGTGTTTCGCTTTCCAAATTTTTTTGAATTTAATATTTTCTTATTCTCTAACATTATATCTATTCATAAAAAAAATTTAAACTTGGGACAGCCATGGGTTTTTTAGTTATTGCGATTAAAAAATCAAAAAATAAATATTATTTTAAAAAATAGATGGCGCTTCTTTATAAAATTACGCGTTTTGTTAAAATTATTATTTTTTTTAAACTTTTTCTCATTTTAAACATAAATAATAAGATTTTCCAGCATTAATATTATGAAAATATATTATTTAGATCATTTGATAGACTTACTTATTATTATTATTACTTTATTGATAACTTGTAAAAATTATTAGTTTTTATAATAAATGATTAATTTTTCGATCAAATGAATATTCTCATACGCCATTCATTTATTTGTGAACAACAAAGTTCATTTCACAATAACCTTAAAAATAGTTTAGAAAATAATCACTATCTAATTATTTGTGACTTTTCAGAAAATTATTCCTTTATTGTCCAAGACGAAGTTCAGGGTTATCATTGCACAACTTCGCAAGCTACGCTGCATCCATTCTCAATTTATTATAAAATAGGCAATCTAATTAACAACCTAAGTTTTGTGGTAATATCGGAATCCTTAATTCATAATACTGTTTCATTCCATTTATTCCAATCGCATTTGATTAATTTTTTAAAAAATAAATTCGACACTCCACCATAAAAAATTTATTACTTTTCTGATGGTTCAGCAGCTCAATATAAAAATAGGAAAAACTTCATCAATGTTTGTTACCATGAAATCGATTTTGGTGTCCAAGCAGAATGGCATTTTTTTTCTACGGCACATGGTAAAAGTGCCTGCGACGGCATAGGCGGCACAGTAAAAAGGTTAGCTGCCAAGGCAAGCTTACAAAGACCTTATACTGATCAAATAATTACACCTTTACAATTTTATAAATATGCGGAAGAGCATATAAAAGGTATAAATTTTTCTTATGCCATCATACCAGAGTATGAGGAAGAAGAGATGAGGCTACGTGAGAGATTTAGTAAAGCTATCACAATACCTGGGACACAAAAAATTCACGCAGTGTTTCCGATTGGTTTAACTAAGCTCAAAACTAAACTATATTCTAATTCGCAGACATTTGTTGTGGAGAATATAATATATCAACGTGAAGATCTTTTGATTGAGGATCTGTAAATCGATGAGATTAGTGGATATGTAACATGTGTGTATGATAACGATTGGTGGTTAGGATTTGTACAAGAAGTGAATGTAATTAGAGATGAAATAAAAATTAATTTTCTTCATCCTAAAGGACCAGCAAATTCTTTTGTTTATCCAGCGGCACAAGATCTCCTTTACATACCAAAAAATAATATTTTAACAATAGTTAACCCATCAACGGCTACTGGGCGTACATATAATCTATCGCAAAACGAAATTATAATGGCGTGAAAACAATTAAATTTAAGGAAAACCCGAAAATAAGTAATATCTTTCATGAATTTTTATTTATCTATTATATTTACAAATTAATAAAATAATTTTACGAAATTTAAAATTATTAATGCTGGAAAATCTTATTATTGTTTAAAATGGGAAAAAGTTTAAAAAAAAATAATAATTTTAACAAAACGCGTAATTTTATAAAAGAGCGCCATCTATTTTTGAAAATAATATTTATTTTTTGATTTTTTTAATCGCAATAACTAAAAAACCCATGGCTGTCCCAAGTTTAAATTTTTTTTATAAATAGATATAAGGTTAGAGAATAAGAAAATATTAAATTCAAAAAAATTTGGAAAGCAAAACACTTGAGTTTTCATGTTTAAACTTTATAACTTAAATAAAAACCGCAACAATATTATTTTGAAAAATTTTTTAATATTCGCTAAAAGGCCCTTAATAGAGTTATAAATTGATATATAACTTATATTTTTAAAATCATTATTTTTTAACTTATCTCAATTTTAAAAAATCGCATTTTTCGAAAAAACGTCATTTTTGGCACTTTCGACCATTGATATCTCAGGAACTATGAGTACTAGGAGGCTAAAATTTTGGATTCGATGCTTTCTAATGATATTCTCTCAGTATACAAAATTTTATCGAAATTAAAAAGGTCGAGCCGAAAAGTTATCGATTTGGTATGGAATTACCCTTCAACCAGATTTTACATCCTTCTTTTGCTATAGGCAGATGAGGAGACTACCAACTCTTATTTGGTTGAAATCGAGAGTTAAAGTGTGGGTTTCTTTTAAACAATTAGATGCCCTTCCTGGCATCAACCTCTTAAGATCACCTTTGCACCCTGTCAAGTGTGATCATATTCTAAATCCAGATCATGTGGAATCCGCATTAACCACCCAAGGCATCACCCCCCCCCCCTACACTGACTGAGGCTGAAGGTAGACAGGTTAGCATTTGTTTGGCATGGGTCATGAAAGATCTAAGGATTTAAGACATCCCCAGATATTCCTTGAAATTTAGTAGTCCAGCTAAAATAAGGTGGGGTTAAAAATAATTTTAAAATTTGATCTAGTATTGCTAAAAGATTTGGGTCCTTTTTTAAAAATGACCAAATTAAGATTTTAGCAATTATTATATGCCTCAAGATTTAACAAATAGCTATGAGAAAATATCAAGCCCTATATTTTATTATTTTGGTTATAATATTAATTGGGCAATTCTTTTAAATCAACCTAAATCAGGCTTTTTAACAACACTAATTAGATTTATAAAATATAAACAAATTATAAAATGTTTTTGTTTTTAAGATAAAATGAGCATTTCCTGGGAATTATGACAAAGCAATTAATGGATTTTTTAAAATTGTGTTTATTTTAATGAAAATATGTTTAAATTTATATTTTTGCAATTAAAAATCTTGAATTAATCATAAAAATAAGAATAGAGCTTGACCACATTTAAAAACAAATGGGCTAACTTGAAGGGCTCTTTATCTAGGTTGTCGTTGATTTTTAAAAAATTCCAGATTTTAATGATGCATTTATAAAATTTTAGCTTGAAAAGTAATGTGGTAAAATTAAGAAAGGTTTCTATTCTGGGTATTATTGAATTACAAAAATTGTGATGATTAGAGCTCAATAAATCAATATGAGCAGTATTTAACCTCAAAAGATGTTTATTTTTATTCAATAAGAAAAACTCTAGAACATTATATTATTCTCCTATACATAGATATTGATACCATTCTTTTACTTAAATCAATTACACAGGCATCATGAAAAAAAAATTGTTAAATTTTATTTTATAAAAAAATGTATTTAAAGTATTTAATTGTATATCAATTTATGGAATCAAAGAGTTACTACATAATATAGACAAAAGATATGTGAAAAAATATTATAAGAGGAGATATTTATAAAGGCTCCAATGATTCAAGTAAGGTAACACTATTTCCTCGAATTACCTAGAAAAATCATATGTATAAATTTATTTATTATACATACCACCATGCCAATAGTATGCTTCTCTGAGTTTTTACAATGCTCAACACCTTCATCAACAACAAGGTTCATAAATGGATCAAAACCTCTTAGAATCCCTGTGACCAATCGTCCACCATTTAATTTTACTGATATATATTTTTTCAAATAAGGGTAATGTATTTATTAATTAAAAATTACGTGAAACTTTTTTTTCTAAATATCTAAAAAAATATATGACTATACGTTTATTAACATTATATATACCTTTTTAACTCTGGTGGATGCGCTTTAGACATTTTGAATTTTTTTTGTAAATGGTACTAGCTCAAATGAATGAAAGTTGATTAAGGAAAATATTCAATGGATGAATTATTTAAAATTAAAAAAAATAAAAATTTGAGAAAATAAAAGATGTAGTAATAGGTTAAAATATATGTAGAATTAATATATATACTAAAAATAAATTGGAATATATTTTTATTTTATTGTAATCCCGTGTTGTAACACTAAGGCTGCATTCATGGTAGGGACGGTTTTTATTTAAATTAGCTTTTACTCAAAATTCTTTGTTAAAATATTGCTGATAACCTAGATCAATATTTAATATTAAAAAATTCCAACCAGGTCCAGCCCACAATAATTTCCCGGTCAAATACCATAATAATTTTGATAGTTAAGAACTAAAATAAAATTTTAAAAAAATCAACGCATTTAAAAATGCAATCAGAATAAGCTTGGTCCTTGATCAGGCCTGGCCCAGACATGATCAAAATATTTTAAGTGTCCAAGACCTTAATAAATTTTAAAAAATTTTTTCCAAGCTCAGCCCAACCTATAATCATTTTGAAAATTTTTTTCAACCCTGGCTCAATCCATAATAATTTTGAAAATTTTTTTCCCGGCCCATAACAATTTAAAAAAGATTTTCTCATGACAGATTCAAGCCCATATTAATTTTGAGGAATATTTTCTAAGCCCAGCACAACCCAAAATAATTTTGAAAATTTTCCCCAAACCCTGAGATAGTAAAATTTCTAATTAAATCATGAAATGAAGGGTATATCTCCGATTTACCAGTTATTCTGCGGGTCGTAATAAGAGAAACTTAAAAAACCAAACCACTAATTAGAGAATCATGACAAAATCAGGTCTGCCCTAATATTTTTAAAGAAATAACAAATCTTACCTCGTTTTATTGGAGATAACCCCAAAAATTAAGTTATGGAGAAAAATAAGCAATGAAAATGTGTCCACTGCAACAATTCTAAAAAATTAATTTTTTATAATGCTGAATGAATAATGTTTGCAACATTATTTGTTATCCATGATATAAAAATAAATGATTCTTATACTTTTTGGTACTATGCAATTAAAATTGTATCTAAAAAATAAATTGCTGCTTAGTATAATGGTTTATTGTTGTTTTTCAGATAAATTTAGTGTATATCTTGCCTTTCTGAAATTATTTATCAATTAATTTAAAAAGGGCAATATCTTTATGTTAAGTAACAAAAAATGCTATATATTTAAATTATAAAATTGTCATTCAATATTAATAAAACTTAGTTGAAATTTATTTATATATTTTTTAAGAAATTTGTTTTTCTTGTCAATCCATTATAAATTTAGGCCAATTTTTTTAAAAAATGATGAGGAATAATTATTGATTTGTGTATCTGTTAAAATTTAAAACAAATCCTTTTTGACATCTTAATTTTGATGAAAAAGAGATAAACTAAATCAGGCCGGTATTTTGGAGACTGATTAGAAAATAAATCAAGCATACTTTTATCCCATTTAGGGTAACAGGTGAAATTAATGAATAATGACGGCTCACCAAAGTAGCGTACAATTGCCGATGCGTCCCGATCTGATACATATGCTTTGGGCCACTGGTAAAAGAAGAAAACATAATCTTCTGCTAAAATTGTCAGCATTGGTAACCCCCTCTTAAATAGAATCATGAATGCCTTGAAAGAGCTCTGCGCTTAATTTAGAGTAACTATTTCGTAGATACTGTTTGACCTAATTGTCCAAAATAAATTGGTGCAAAAGACTATTGGATCTTAAAATAATATTTTTATCATCCTGCCTGACCATAAAGTGATAGGCATAGTACTCTCTGTAAGTAACATATATTATTTGAGTTTCTATAATGATTAGATGGGTGGTATCCAATATCGCTTCTGGGAAAAAGAGGAACATATTGCAAGGGATCATATAAAAAGTAAGACAGGGTCTGTTTTCTAAAATAAAAGAAGACAAAAATTTAAAAAATATCAATGCATTAGACCTGCAGAGGAATCAAATTCAGGTTCGACTCTCTAGAAATAGTTGGATATTATCAAAAGCAAAATAGATGTAATCTAAAATGTAAGGTAGTATTGCATTTTAATCATAGGCGTAGCTATGAGGGGGGGGGGGGTGTAAGGGTAAATCCCTCCCTGAAATTTATCACTTTTTGTGAATATCATTTTAGATAATAAAAATACTCCTTAGTTTTCTTCCCACCCCCTGTCCCCTAAATATGTATGCATATACCTTAAATTATTGATTATAATTCATACTTTTTTGGAAAAAAGCAAATTATATATAAAAAAAGTCAAACCAAAAATCTTTTTTATGAAATGAAATATGAGCCAAAGATAAGTCTTAAGACAAAAGTTAAATGTGTTATAATTACTATTAATAGATCCATAAAATTACTAAATAATATAATATCTCAAATATATTTTTTTTATTATGTGAGTAACTTTAACTTATTTTTCTTATAAAATAATAAATAATTATAAAGTTATTGATAAAATTAAATTATATTAAGTAAAAATTAACCCACAATACAAACAGTGGAATATTATGTGTCTTATATTTACAGTATATCTAATTTTATCTAATATCGTATGAAAATCAAATAATCTTTACCAATAGGGAATTATATATTTTACAGAAGACTATAGAATATTGATAAGGAGATCAGAAAATTTTTTTTAAATCATGTAAATGAAAAATAAAATCTATATTTCAGTACGTTAATATCTAATGATACATCGAATGTGGGATGAATAATAAAATGTTTAATTTTTTAAATAGATGGCGTTAAAGATTTAAATACCAATTGACATATATATTATCATAAGCATTTATTAGTAATATTTATTAAAATATTAAATGTAATATATTCTATAACTTTCAAATATGTCTGTAAAAGTGGCATTTTACCTAATATTTTGTAACCAATTCTATATAATAAAGAAATATCAACTATATGTCTACTTACTTTTTATAAAGAAGTTTCTTATACCTGTGTAATAAATTTTACCACGTTTTTATATTAATGTATATAAATTTATTATATTTTACATAAACTAATAAAAATATATTTCCTATATGTTCCAGACAAATATTTTGATATAATCTATAAACCAATTTCTTATATTTTAAATAAAGATATTTTTTTTTAAAAATTAAAATTAACATTTTCTCTTGCAAAAATATTTTATGAGTAGGGCAAAAGCGTGCCGAAAGCCCGCCAAAAATGGGGTCTGGAGGCCCCAAAAAAATTTTATAACCCCCCCCCCCCCTCCACCTCCCCCTTTAGGAAAATCTTAGCTACGCTTATGTTAATATATATATATATGTAGATGATATTTATTTCTTATAACTGGCCCCAATTCAGAAGTAAAGAATTCAATAATTTTTGTCATAAACGTAATATATTTAGTGCATGACCATATGTTTATTTTTAACTTTTAGATGGTACGGGGGAACAAAATAGATAAGTTAGAATATTACACTCAAAAATTCGAGATAAATGGAAAAGCTATTAAATTCTTCTCATTACCTTGGGTGGCGTATAAAATACGGAGAGTTTGGCATTCTCGGTCTTCAAAGGATGTTGAAGCTTGAATTTCCACGGAGTTCTGCCTCTATACATATTGCTCCAGTGTTGTTAAATTCGTTATGGGTAGACTTCGAAGAAACAAAGCGGCCTTTTCCCTGTTGGAAATTTTGCTTGTGTAGAAAATGCAATTTCCCTCTATATGCGCTATCATCGCTATTAAATTTAGCGAAATCCAATCTCACAAATTCGGTCATATATGTTGAATTATTCGATGCATCCATCGTTAAGGAATTTTATTTGTATATGAGCGTGATATTTACTTAATGAGAAAATAATAATGTGAAAGAATTTTGTCTTGGTCTCCATGAAATATAGGTGAGAATAGACTAGTATATAAATATGTTTTATTAGATAGATCATTTAATTGAAATATAATAACAATATCAAAAGTCACAATTTTTTGTGCTACATGTTTCTTTTTTACAATATTTTATATATAATATAAAACCAATCATCAAAGGTTAACAATTTTAGTTAGCCGCTCGCAGTGTTAATGATATAACAGACTATTAAGTTATTGAATATTATTATAATGTAAGATGAAAGAAATAAAAATAAAACTGAGTCCGTAAAATAATAGGTTAATGTTATATTTATGCGTATTCCATTTTTTATAATTACGCGATAATTTGAATATGAATTATATTATTATTTAATTAGTTGGTTTTTGAATATTGTTAATCGAGTATCGACGATTGTAAATTATTATTTAGAGATATTTGAATATGTAGTTTTTGGAATAGATTAATATTTGATGAACTTTAATGTACTTTTAATTTTTAGTAACAGCGTGGTAAATCGTTCTAGTGAAAAAAAGTCGTAAGAATTATTATTAAATTAATTAATTACATTAATCTTTTTCTTATTATTTATTCCAGGTTTCATTTTGATTTTATTAAAAGTCTCTCCTAGTGTTGTTAAATTGCTGGGTCGGGTCGGCTTGGCCGGAAACCCAGCAAGGTTTGAGCCTAAAAAAACGACCTTAAACCCGAGCGAACCCATTTAGGCATAGATCAGACCCGACCCGACCCAGCACCCGACCCAGCAAGCCGACCCAACAAGCCGATCCATTGGGCCACCCGATGAGTCGGCTTGCTGGGTCGGCTTGCTGGGTCGTGTTGGGTCGGCTTGTTGGGTCGTCTTGAGTAAAAATTTGTCATAATCTTCTTTAAGTTTTTTCGAATTTTTTGAAGCAAATAGGTAAAAATATGTATTGTAAACATGTTAAATTAAATTTTCAGTGAATATGTACCTTAGAAAAGTGACAATTGTCATAATCGTCATTTTTAAGTTTTTTCGAATTTTTTTGAAGCAAATAGGTAAAAATATATATTGTAAACATGTTAAATTAAATTTTCAGTGAATATGTACATTAGAAAAGTGACAATTGTCATAATCGTCATTTTTAAGTTTTTTCGAATTTTTTTGAAGCAAATAAGTAAAAATATATATTGTAAACATGT